TAAAAGTTTTCGGCATGGAGGCGCAGACCCTGAGAAAAATTGAATCCTGGGTGAGAATCCTGAGTGTGAAGAAGCCTTCAAGGTCATGGCATAAATAGGCTGCTGTCCCCACAAGCTCTCAGCCTCCCACGCCACAACCCCCTGGAGGACCGCCTGCTGTTATGGAAGCAAAGACAGTGCAGACATAAAATATACACTCCGATTTTAACTACACTGTGCCCCTGCCCAGGAGTACTGGAGCGCGGGCCTCTCGAAAGCCCCTGTCCTCACCTGCCAACCTGAATCAGGGTGTCTGGGATGGTTGCTGTGGTCTGCCACCTCCTCCTCCTGCTCCCCAGCCCCAGCCCTCCCCTGCCCTAGCCCTGCAGCCCCCAGCTAGAGCCCAGCAGGTAAGGCGCTGGGGACCAAGGGGCCAAGAGGGAGAATGTCTTCAGCAGCCATGAGCTGGAGGAGCCAAGCGGATATTGATTCGGTCTACGGGAGCAAAGGGACCCGTTAAAATGTGGCTGTTAAATTGCTGTGCCTGAAGCCAGCCAGCTCTGCGGGTGGGCGGGCGGCCAGGCAGGCAGGCTGTGGACAGACCAGCCGATAGCTAGCGCCCTGGTGTGGTGGCCTTAGACACCCCATGGGGCCTGAGGCAGCCTGGTTGGGACCTTTGCTGTCCTGATGCCCACAGGACCCTGAGCTCCAGCTGCACTAACTTCCTGGCACCCTCTGAGCACATGCGCTGCCCTGGCTCTGCTCACACAGACCCGGCCCTTCACCCCCTCCGTCTCTTCAAATCCTACTCAGCTTTCTGGACTCTATGAAAATAGCACCTCTTCCATGAAATCTTCCTGATTTTCCACTCCTTACTCCAACATCCAGCGAGAAATGGCCTTTCCCTCCCCAAGTCCCCAAAGCCCCCAAGAGGCCATCTGCCTCCTGTCCTCTCTGCTATAATAACTAAAGAAGAGTTGTGGGCCCCCTGACACCTGGGTTTCACCCACCCCACCGTCACATGTGAGGGGCCTGGGAGGCCAGGCACCTAGGAGATGTGAGAGCTCGCCTTGGGAGGGCGGAGCAGGAAAGTGTTGGCCAAGTGTAGCCTGATGGGCGCTCCCCCACCTCCTCCAGCTACCCAGGCCCTGAGACAGATGTCAGCAACTGCTCAGTGCTGAGTTATTTCCTCTCCCTCATGTGTGATGCTCAGCGGGCCACCACCACTCCGATGGCTCAAAATCAACCCCTGCTCAACCAAAGGCCACCACTGTCCCTGGGATTCCTCCAAGGAGGCTAAGAGCCAGGATTGAATCCCAGGTCTACCACTAATAACACTGTAATCTTGAGCCAGGCACTTCCCTCTCTGAGCCTGTTTCTTCATCAATAAAGCAGAATACTGGGCCTTATGCCTTAGGAAGGATGTGAGAATTGAATGAGATGACAGCTGCAGAGGCCCGGAGAAGGACCTTGATTGCCCGGAATCACATAGCAAGAGGGTAGAAAAGATGCTGCATTCCTGCCTTTTAGTCCCAAACTCCCCTTAGCCCATCCCACCTCTCTTGCTTGGGTCTGGTGTCCTGGGATGGGGCCTGGGCTGTGTAACCTGGCAGCTATTCCTCTGTGACCTCAGGAACAACAGACCATTGGCTTGCTTGGGGCTGGGCTTGGGCCACCTTTGTTGATCCCTTGGTCTGACCAGGCCTCCCCACGGGGCCTTATCTGTCCATTCTCTCCTTTCCCACCAACCTAATCTCTCTCTCTTTTCAGGAGTTCCTGTTTCCTCTCTGCCGCCTTCTTGTCTCTTCCCAGATCCCGTCTCTCCTGTGTCTCCGGCCAGCCTCCCACACTTGGGTCAGAGTCGCCTCAGAGCGGTTGGTGCTGTCATCACTGGGGACTTTCCCTCTCTCCAGGGCTCACTGACCCTCTCAGAGACCTGTCTGGGACTGCTGCCCCTTGTGCAGGAGGGAGAGGGAGTGAATTCGGACACCCACAGAAGAGTACCTGGCCTTTACATTCTTCAGGTTGGCCACCGGCCCAGGAGGCATCTACAGGGCCAACACAATGGTGTCGGGGTTTTTACTCTATTGTCCCAGATCTTATGGTTCCAGATCTCTAAACATAGCAAGATCCTGTACTACTGAAGCACCAAGGTTCTGGGAGCCTCTGGGACCCTGTGATCCACCCTAGTGGGCAGGGAGACAGCACTTGTGCCTGACCTAAGTGGGGCCCATTCTGGCTGTGTCCTAAGAACCTTGACCTGGTGGTGAGGAGCAGCCCAGGGACTAGCTCTCTATGCCCCTTTGGCTGTCCAGCTCCTGCACAGACAGAAAGGTACAGGCCTTTGTTAGAGGTCTGGGGACTGAGTCGGGGGCATAGCCAGTTTCCCATCCTGAAGCCCTTCCTGGCCCAGGACCTCCACTTAGCCCAGGAAACAGTCTTCTGTCTTCCATGCTGTCCTTCCTGTGCCTGGCAGGAATGAGGATTAGGGAGAAAGGACACATCTGGGCTCAGAGCCCTGCTCTGCTGGGAACTTTCCCTGAGGTCAGGGGCCAGCCACCTCTCCTCTCAGAGCCTTGGTTTCCTCCTCTGTCAGAGATGACAGTACTCACCTGGGGGGCAGGGAGTGCTGCCACAACTGGGACAATGTGTATGGAATGGTACCCAGCAGCTGCATACTAAACGGTAGCATTTATATTATTATGTCCCTTTCTGATAGTCATTCTAGGTGCTTGGTCTATTTTCCCCATTTATTTGTCCAAATTCAACATTTCCAAGATATGTTTTGCATGCATCCCTGTCGTGCTGCCCCCAGATCCAGGGCTACATGGGTACATTGGGCTGACCCCAATCCATGAGGGGCTCCCAGACAGATGGGTAAGATAGACACAACACAGACCTCTACAACATGTTGGCTCAGTGCAATGCCGGTGGGATGCACAGAGGCGGTGGGAACCCAGGGGAGGCCCTGGCCCAGCCTGGTCAGGGAGGGCTTCCTGGAAGAGAGGGCCATTCACTTGGCTTTGAAGAAGGAGAGGGCATTGGCCGGCCACGTGAGGATGAGTCCAATGGCTGTTTTAAAGGTTCAAAGGGTATGGAGAAATGGGAAGGGCACTAGGGAAGGATGTGTAGAGAGGGCTGAGAGTGGGATTCCAGCAGGGGAAATAGCATTCTAGGTCTGGAGAAAACAGCAGATGCCCAGAGGTGAGGTGGGCTGAGCAGTGGAGTTTCAGGGTGGGTGAGAGAATGCTGGCAGAGGTGCAGGAAATGTGGCTGGAAGAGGAAGACTTGCCTGGAGCCTGAAGGATGGGCCTTGTGTGCCAGGCCAGGGAGCTAGGGATTGGTTCTGCGGGCTGTGGGGGCTGATCAAGGCTGTGGGGCAGGGAAGCCCTGGGCCTGGGAGATAGCACAGTCCAGGAGCTTATTCGAGAGTGGCTGTGAGAGTTTGCTGCAGAGATGCTGGCAGAGACCCCCAGGGAGGCTCCATACTCCACCCCCAGGCACTTATCAGTTCTGTGACCACAGGAAAGGCCTTTCCCATCTCTGAATTTCCTCATCTGCACAACAGACCAGAAGACTTATCTTGAGTTCCTTACAGGTGGTGATTCTGTGACTCTGGCCACTTCCACTGCAAGCTCTCAGGCAGGGCTTAGAAGATGACCACAGAAACTCTCCTTCTTTCCACATGGTGACTGACCCCGCCCCTGAGGGTTCATCCCACCCCCAGGAATGCCTGGCCTCCAAGGCTCACTCTGCGTGGTCCCTCCAGGTGGCCCTGTCCTCAGCATCTGAGTCTCTTCCTGTTTCCAGCATTCTCTTACATCCTTTGTCTCGTGTGGCACAGGTGACAAATGAATGACTGCTTCCATGCTGGGGACACCTACCATGGGTCTGGCCGAGGATACTCCACTTGCTCACCCCTTGGTTACTAATGCCATCCACACTCAGGGAATGACACCAGCACCCAGAGAGGACAATGACATGCCCACAGTGATCCTGGTCCTCTTTGGCCCCGTCTCTGAGCAATGGAGTGGGACTCCCTCTGGGTCCCCTCCTGCCTCCCTAGCTGTTATTTCTGTCTCCGTTGCCTCTTTTCCTCCTCCAAGGTGCAAGTGTCCCAGGCCCAGCCTCCATTCTTGTCTCTTCTAGCCTGTCCTCCCCGAGTAATGACACACAAATGTACACCTCCAGCCCTGGCTTCCCCTCAGCACCCCAGCCTCAAGCGTCTGCCTGTCTATTCAGTCTTTCCACTTGGAGCCTAAACAATGTCACAGTCCCCGAGTGTTCACATCTGAACCCCGGTGCTCTCTCCACCTCATCTCGGCATTCAGCCCCTCTGTCCTTCCAAGTGCTCTGGCCAACTCTGGCGTCCATTCTAGGGCCTCCTTCCCATCACACCCCACAGGCAGAAAGAGAACAAATCCTGTTGACTCCACCTTCAAACAGAACCAGAATCCAATCACTTCTCACCATGTCCGCCACCAGTCTGGTCCAGGCACTAGGCCGGGGTCTTTCCCAACCCCCAACCTTCATCACCACTACCCCCATTCTATAAATGGGGAAACTGAGGCTGGGGGCCTCAGGGTCACACAGACAACCCAGCTTGTCTAGCTGGAGCCGGGGTCTTCATTTCCCTGAGGCCTGCACCCCCAGCTCCTGAAGCTGGCTGGCAGGCCTGACCACATATCCAGGCTGTGCAGTGTGCCTGCATGTGTGTCCCCGAGGAGCAAAGAAGCTGCCAGCTGGGTTTATGTTTCAAGACGTCTGTCCTCGCCCTTGACCAAGAGATCTTACAGGGAGATCCGGGCCAGGGCTGGGTGTGGGCTTGTTTAGGGGGGCAGGGAAGGGTGTGGGGACATCAATCGCAAGCCGCCTTGCCTGGAAACTGGAGAGTCCTCTCTGCCAGCCCCAGGAGCTGCTGAGTTCACTTGAGGAGGCCAGAACTGCAGGGGCGGGCTGGGGCTCACTCAGCATTTATTTCATACAGCTGTTTAAAAAGCTTGTTTTAAAATATAGATCATTATATATATATATATTTATATATATAAAATATATAAAGAGGAATTGAAGAGAGCCGCCCCAAAGAAAAAGCTATGTTTTATAAATATTTCTGTAGCTCCCACATCCCAAAGGAAGAAAAAACAAAAAACAAAAATACATTTACAACCCAAGCTAGTGGTTCCATGTGGTAGGCCCAGCAGGTTCAGACCCTGGGGTTGGGCTGGGAGTCCCTCAGAACATTCTGATGAGGGTGGGCAGACCCCTTCCCAGAGGGCTGGTCTCTCTGGCCCTGAAAGGTCAAATCCACACCAGTCTCACCAATCCCATGCCCCTGGATTCTTAGCCCAGCTTGTGGGCACTCCAGGACCTCTGGCTGCTGATTTATTTTTATCTTGTCGGTTTCTTTTGATGTCTCAGCCCTCCTTCCAGGGTGGCCAGGCCTTCTGTTCCTGGTGGCTTCCAAGTGTGGGCAAAACACAGGCCACCTCCCATGCCAGGCATCTGGAATTCACAAGCAGAAATCCACAGAGGGTGTCCAGGCCCCTGGCCCCGGCAGCTGAGGGCTCTCCAGCAGTCCGCTCTGTGCGGGGCGGCAGTGTGGCCTCACTTGCAGACATAGCGCTCCACTGTGCGCTCACACCTGCGGCAGGTGACATAGCAGCACCAGTGGTACTTGCAGTGGCACCGCTCGACCACGCGGTCTGTGTAGGGGTTGTAGCCGCGCCCACAGCACATGAGGTCGCAGCTGTCGCTGCCGTTGGATGTCTTGTTGCACTGCCTGGTGGAGGGAGGAGGTCAGTGAGCGTTCCTGTCACCCCCCCACTCCCAGCCTCCCCACAGCCACTGACAGCCCCTCTTGGAAGGTGTCTCAATCTTTGGGGAATTTTAACTAATGATCTTACCTAAGGATACTTCCACCTCCCTCTCTAAGAAACAGTTATCAAAATGATGGGGTTGCTTTTTTTTCTTTACAGGTATCTTTTTTTTATTTCTTTTTTCTATTTCTAAAGACCTAAAGGACACTCAAAAGCCAATCTAGCAATCCTGCCTTCATATTTAATCTTTACTTATATTGTGACAGATGTAAAGATTGTTGTTATTTTTAGAATTGCAGGATAAACTGTGAAACACTCAAAATGGCATTGGGTATGGGTATGGGGCCGAGGGAGCAGCTGGCACACTGTCCGTGGAGGGTACATGGCTGTTGGCCACGTGCCTCCCACAGGGTAGGCTCTTCCTTCCAGTATTTTATCTTACTAGAAGCAGGTAGGGTCCTTACAGTGGTTGGAGATTTTGTCTTTTTTTGTGGAGGGTAGACAGAGTCTTGTTCTGTCACTCGGGCTAGAGTGCAGTGGTGTCATCATAGCTCACAGCAACTTCAAATTCCTGGGCTCAAATGATCCTCCTGCCTCAGCCTCCTGAGTACCTGGGACTACAGGCACTCACCACAAATTCCTGCATAATTTTTTTTCTATTTTTGGTAGAGACGGGGGTCTCATTCTTGCTGAGGCTGGTCTTGAACTCCTGAGCTCAAGGGATGTACCGGCCTCAGCCTCCCAAAGTGCTAGGATTACTGGCCAAGTGCGGTGGGATTATGATGTCTGTTATACCCAGCAACACAGGCTAAACCAAGGGCAGAGGTTTAAATTCAGGGCCACTGAAGCCAAGGCCATTGCTTACTATCCTTAATCTAAAGGTATGGAACCCAAGGGCCTGGCAGGGGCTGAATTTCTTCCTGAATCACTTCTGGGCAACAAAAAGACATTGATGGTCCCCACAAAATGCAAATATCCTTCTGTTGCTATCAGTTCTTCTGTCTAATAAAAAAAAAATCTGTTCAGATTGGTGGTTCTTTTAGCTGGGCTGCTGCTAGAGAGGGGATATTTTAGTGGATGCAGTTGAGGACAGAGCAGCAGGGCTCAGAGTACTGGGCAGGGACAAGGGGTCCCCATAGCCATGTGGACAGAGGAATCCCAAAATGTCCAACATAGGCAAGCCCTCGAGAAGACTGAGTCTAATCCTCATATTTATTTATTTTGTTTTTGCAGTTTTGGCCAGGGCCGGGTTCAAACCCGCCACCCCTGGTATATGGGGCTGGTGCTCTACTCCTTGAGCCATAGGTGCCACCCATAATCATATTTATTGATGGGTAAACTAAGGCACAAAATGGTGACAAGTCTTTCCCAGTAAGCACAGGGTCTGTGAGTTCAGGAAGGCATTTTGGAAAAAGAAAGGTCTCTCAGGCTGTTGAGGAAAGATGAGCAGGAATCTCAGGACTAACACACAAAGCAGGGAAAGGGTGTTGAGGGTAAAGGGAACAGCCTGGGCAAAGGCAAAGGCCCCAGCTTGGTCCAAAAATAGTGGAAGAGCAGATGGAAGTGGGGCTGGAGAACAGCAAGAAGAACACATGCCCCAGAGCCAGGCAGACCTGGGTTTAAGCCCCAGATTCACCACTGACAGGCTGTGTGACTGAAGGCAAGTCACTTAACCTTTCTGGGCTTTGTTTAGCCAGTCAATATCCATAAGTCCCCCTTTGCTTTATCCTAAAGTCTCTGACTGACCACTCTACCCTCAGTTGTAGAAAGGAGACAGATCCTTTTTTTTTTATTTTTAGATCCCTGATATGCAGTGTCTGAAGACATGGCCTCCAACATCAGAGCCAGACCAGACCCAGCAGGGTGTCTAGGACAGGGAGTCAGAGAGGGTGGGGCCACTTGCCCAGGTCAGGGCTTCTGGGATGCCTGGCAGGGCATAGGGTGGCACAGGCCAAGGGTGGGGGCAAGTTTCAGGGGTATAAGTCTCTGGAAGAAACATAACAAGAGGCTGAGGTTTGGAATATGGACTGCTGGTTAGGCGTCAGTCTCCCCAGGTTAGATTTCAGAAGACTGCAAGGCATCATCCCAACTAGTGAGCCAGTCTCTACAGAGATAGTGCCTGTGCACATGCCTGGGACAATTAACAAAGCTCATTTATGTCCAACCCTCTGTACACCTTGACCCAATAAAGCTCACATTTCCCCTCCTCCAGAATCCTTCTTGGATGTCCAGGCTGGGCTGGGTCCTCTCTGGGCTCCTCTTGCACTGGGATTCCCCCTGTCACAACCTGAACACTTGAGGTCCTCCCGCATACCAGCACCTGCCAGAGCCAGGCAGGGCCACAGCTGACATATTACAGCCCCATGTAATGGGTATAAGAAGTGTTTGTAGTTGTAAACTACCGAGAAGTTGGGGTTGTTTGTTAGTGCAGCAAAAGCTGACCAATACAGATGTGTGCAAGGGCCACTCCCAGGGGAACAGTAGGAAACCTGTGAGGAGGGTGGGTAGTCATGTGGGTGGGGGATCCTCTTTAATAGTGTGAGGACAGCTGGAAGAGAGAGGCCTGGCAGCCTGAGGTGGAGGGAAGGAGGGGAATTGGCATGGAGCAGACGCTGATTAAGTGTAACTGGAGATCACAGCCAGCCCGTGAGCTGTGTGCTGTCCTCCCCATGGTAGGGAGGCGAGACTAAGCCTCATACCAGTGAAGGATGTGCTCAGGTTCACCCCGCCAGGAAGCTGTGCCCTCCCCTGACACACACACAGAGCCGCTCACAGGTCCAAGGAGATCCCCTCTTTGCTCTGGAGTCTTCTGTGGGCTTCCCCCAGCCATCCTCTGCCTCCTCCTCTTCCTCCCACATCTGCCTCAGCCCAGCCTCTCATTCCTTCCTGTCTCCGGGCCTGACCTGGTTCCATCTTCACACCACCCGACCCCCTCAATCTGGCCTCCAGATGGGAGCTTGGGCCTCCTCACAGAGCCTGCTGCCCTGGCCTGTGGGGAGGGAGCCCCCAAGCCACCCCTCCCTCTGCTGGAGACGGAACGTGGGCTGCGGAGGAAGTAAATGCTGGCTGGGCACCAACTATGTGCCAGACACGTTCCCAAACACCCGCTCTCTGGTTCAATATTCTTTTAACCCCAAGAACACTAGTTTTGTGGAATGCTATTAGGGGCGCCTTAATAAAAGAGTTCCATGGCCAAACACCTCTGGGAAACACTGGCTTTAGCAGATCCTTTACTGCAGGATTCCTCAGAGCCTTTAATATGTTCTCGTGCCTTGTGAATCACCAAGGAGAATTTCCCAAGCGTATTTGATTGCAGAACTTTCTATGACAGTATCTCAGGACTAGCTTTCTCCAGAAAGGTCTTTGGGAAATTTCTGCTCACCTGAATCCTCACCAGCCCCACCTGGCTTGCACATGGTGTACAATCACCACTCCCCTTCTCCCAACCTGAGCTGGCTGCAGCAGCCATAACTATAGGGCCAGCTGTAGGGAACCCAGCCCTGGCTCTGAAACTGGGACCAGGGGGTCCCCAGGAGGAGATAGGAGGATCTGAGGCCCAGGATAAGGGTTTGAACAAGTTGGGACACTGCTCTATAGACGCAGGCAGCCTGCTCTCTCCTTCAGCTCTGTGTGGACTCCTGTGTGGCCACAGGCTGGCTGCTGTCCCTACTTTCCTGTGATGCTACTCAGGTCCTTGGTTTTTTTGGGGGGGGGGGACAAAGTCTCATTCTGTTGTCCAGGCTAGAATGCCATGACATCGCAGCTCGCAGCAACGTCAAACTCTTGGGCTCAAGTGATCCCCCTGCCTCAACCTCCCAAGTAGCTGGGACTATAGGTGCCCACCACCAAGCCTGGCTAATTTTACTATTATTAGTGGAGATGGGGGTCTTACTCTTGCCCAGGCTAGTCTCAAACTCCTGACTTCAAGGGATCCTCCTGCCTTGGCCTCCCAGAGTGCCAGGATTACAGGTATGATCCACTCTCAGCTCTCAGATCCTCTCATCCAATAAGCAGGTTGTATGACATTTGCCCTTCCTCTATTCATTTAACAGGCATTAACTAAGCTCCTAGTTCATGCTGGGCAGCCTCTTCCCTATCCCCTGTCTCCCAGTAGAGTTGTTGTCTCTTCTCTTCTGTCCCCTCCGCCACTAGGGGGAGGGTGGGCTGGGGGTCCATTCCCCAGGGCTCCTGCCAAGATGACATACAGAACAGGCACTCCCAGAAGCTCTATGGGGGCCCTTGGACCCTGGCATCTGCACTCAGCATCCCCGGGGCCACCTCCCTCAACCAGGCGGGGACTCCATTCCCCAAATGCCAATCAGGTGCCAGCTCTGTGCCTGGTCCTAAGCTGGGAAGCATCAAGTACAACAGAGCTGGCCTCTCCTGTTGGGGTGGCAGTAGCCCTTACCTGTCTTGTGTCCCATGAGAGCCCACTTTCTCATTCTTCATGCAGAAGTCAGGCGAACTCTGTAGGTATACAAGTTCTGAGTCCTTCACAGGCCGGATATCCAGATCCTTGGGCACCAGGTGTTTGCGGGTGCCCATGGGGCGGTGCACTACCTTGGTGGCTGAGAGGTAGCGGGTCTTGAGGTCAGCAGCTACATCCCGCAGCTCCTGCAGCCCCTTCCAGCAGGTGCGGATGGAGCAGGAGCCAGATACCCCGTGGCACTTGCACTTCACTTCCAGAGAGGCACGCAGAGCCTGCGGACAGGGGAGCGCATTGGGCTGGGTAGCTGGAGCCCCCTCCCTGGCCTGCCCAGGGACCCTGGCCCCACATGCCACAGGGCTGGGCGCTCTCAGGGAGTCATTGCCCACTCCAGCCTCAAATGATGGAGTTTTTTGCTGTAAAGGTTGGGGGTGTCTCGGGGCTTCCTTCAACCTGGAGAACAGCTGAGGGGCAGGAAGAGAGGCATTTGCAGGGGTAAGAGATGCCATTATTGAACACCTACTATATACCAAGTGCTCTTACACATGATGTAGGTTCTTCATCACAACAGCCCTTCAAGGGAGGTATCTTGTCTTCCTCATTTTACAAAGAGGAAAGAAAGGCTCAGAGCAGCCTTAAGTTGCATGCCTAAGATTGCTAGAAAATCATGGGGCTGGAATTTGAACCCAGATCTGAGGGTAATTCTGTAAGTGGCTTTTTAAATTGTTCCACACTGTTCTCTCAAAACTGGGGCTCATTAAATCCTTGCTGGAAAGGAAGGAGGAAAAGAAGAGAAGGAAGGGAGTGAGGGAGGGATGGGGAAGCAAGAGGTGGGGGAACCACTGCCAGTGCTCCTGCTGGGGGACCCTCCGCAGGCCACTTCACCCTTCAGGGACTCTGTGTTCTTTTGTGCAAAGTGTGCATGTAGTTCCCGCCTGCAGAGTGCTATGAGGATTAAATGAGATGATGTGCACAAAAGGGTCTTGTGAACTATAAAAGCTAAATCAATTTTGGTTTTTGAAAAATTATTTTAAGTAACAACTGCAGTGGAGAGTGGGGAAGTTCAGGCTCAGAGGTGTGGGCCACTCTAGCCCCAGCTTCAGAAAGGACTCAGGGCCACCAGCTTCCCTGGGTCACAGTTTTGCCATCCGTATCTGATAGGAAGGAGTTAGATGCCTTCCAAGGACCTCACAGTCCTGCCTTTTAAATGCTTCTTTCCACTCAGGGCTAGGATCCCCCTGTCCAGGCCTGCCCTCCCCACCTGTCCTATATAGAGAGCTGCAAGGGTCATGAGTCACCTGGGCCCTGCCCCCCGCATCAGAGAGATGGGAAAACTGAGGCAGACTGGGTAAGGACTTGCCCCAGATCACTTAGTAAGTAGCTGCTCGAGGTCCCAGGGCACCTTCTCCCTCACCAGTGCCAGAAAGTGGGGACAGAAGGAGTCCAATTGGGTATAAAATCTGGAATTTGCTGAGCAAAGCTGTGGAGGGCCCAGGAATGTAGTAAACAGGACCACAGGGCATCGAAGTATTTGTGAGTCCTCAAGGAACAGTTATTAGGTTCAGTCCCTCAGCACAAGGTGAGGAAAGGGGCCCAGAACTCCCCGAGGTCCACTGAGTATGAAACAAGTGGTCGTGACCTCCTTTAGTCCTCATACAGCCCTGCGGTTTGGGGGGCACTGCACCCTTTTTGAAGCTAGCCCCAGGGAGAAGCCTAATGTGCCCTAATGTGCCTTAGGACCCTCTTTGGACTGTGCTGGGGGGAGGGTGGGCTGTGCCCTGGCAGCAAGAGGCTCTGGCTAGCTTGGCCCTGGAGATGGGCAAGGGGGCTGGGTCTCCATGGGTGGAGGCAGGTCAGCAGGCTGGGCAGAAGAAGTCCTGAGTCCCTGGCGAGGCTCTCCTACAAACATGCAGTTTTCCTTTATTGTTCAAGGATGCCCTGGACATCCTAGAATCCTCACTCGAGATGGAGACCAGTCAGAGAAGGTGGGTGGAGACATAGAAGCCTCTGGACTTGAAGTCCCACAGACCTGGGCTCATCGTGCCCCATGAATGAGCCATTATGTTCTTTCGGGCTCACTTGGTGCCTCTGTAAAATGGGGCTTACAGGTGCAGGCGGGAGTTGGTGAGATGCCACCTGCACATGTGGCTCTGGATAAGCACCAGCCCTGCCCCATGAGCATCTATGAAAATGGACAATGGCACCTGTCCCAGAGATGTTTTGTGGACCCCAGGAGAGAAAACTGATTGAGTACTGAGCATAGTGCAACATGAATTGGTGTGAGGTTTTGTGGACTTTTCTTTATTTATTTCTTTGAGACAGAGTCTCATCATGTCACCATTGGTAGAGTGCCATGGCATCACAGCTCACACCAACCTCAAACTCTTGGGCTTAAGTGATTCTTTTGCCTGAGCCTCCCAAGTAGCTGGGACCACAGGGGCCTGCCACAATGCCCAGCTATTGTTTCGTTGCAATTATCATTGTTTTTTAGCAGGCCTGGGCTGGGATCAAAACCACTTGCCTCAGCGTATGTGGCCAGTGCTCTAACTACTGAGCTACGTGAGTCCAGCAAAGTTTTGTAGATTTTAATTTTAAAATAAATTTTAAAAACTTGGGCCTTTGTGCCCAAGTTTTTGTGCAATGAGGTGAAGAATTAACAAAAAGGTGATAATAATAAATCTCAGAAGTAAAGTGTTTTCTAGAGGTTGACTTGGGGTTGGGTGGGAGTCCCCCTCCAACCCCCACTCCATAAATCCAAGGAGATAGCTCCTTAGTACAAGGCTATTTCCCACAGCCCTCTCTACACTCCAGGGGAGAACCTGAGCACAGGCAGCTAGGGATTTAGCACCAGATCGCCCCACCATCTCACAAAGGGAACAACTGAGGCCAAAGGAAAGTGGCTTGCCCAACATCACTAAGCCAGAGTCAAGGCCAGAACTCAGAGCTCCTGATTCCTTCCGGCTCCTGCTACTTGGACAACCCAAATCCCAGTGGACCCCCTGGAGGAGGAGGAGCCAGGCAAGCAGCAAGTGGCTGGAAAGGGAAGAACTAAGGAAGGTTGACCCCTGTCAGGTGTGGGCCAATCAGGGTCCATCCCCCCACACCCCCCTCCATTGGGGCACACTGGGAGGCCCTTTTCCGGCCAATTGAACAAGCACAACTAGCTGGGGTGGGTGGGGTGGGTGGTTACCTGTCTCCCCACTTCACTGTTGTGTAGACGCATCAGTTTATTGGCTTGGGATCCTGTTTTTTTCACCTTCATAGGAGCATCGGAAAACTTGGCCCCCATGAGGAGCCCGTAGCTGAGGTTGTCCGCACATCCTCCCCAGCGGTTCCCGGGCCCGGGTGGCTCACCTGGGACAGGGCCGCAGGAGCAGCCGGGCAGGTCACCGGAGGTACAAGCCCGGGCGATGGCGTGGCTGATGGCGGCGGCCGACAGCGCATACACGAAGGCTGACTCCCGGGTCCCTGGGGGTGGGAGGGGTGGATCAGCCAGGCAGGGATCCAGGGAGAGGACCTTGCCAGGTCTAAGGCCCTCTTCCTTCACCCTACCCATGTAACGAGGGTGGTACAGGCAGAGGACAGCAGCAGGGCCATCAGGCTGTCACCTCTTTTCCCTCAATTGCCCCAGATATACCAGCTGCCTGCCACACTCACTCATGACCCACAGGCATAACCTCACCCACAAGACTTTGACCTTGCTTGCCCTGCACTTGGGGTTAGGGGCTGCTCTACAGAAATGAAGGCCTAGGCCCCTGAGCCCGTGATGGGCCAGAGAAGCGCACAAAGAGCATGCTCTGGCCCTGGAGAAGATATGTTCAAGTTCTGGCCCCTGTACCTGTGAATATGACCTTATTTAGAAACAGGGTCTTTGCGGATGTAATTGAGCTGAGAAGAGGTCATACTGGATCAGGGCCCTAAGCCAGTGGCTGGTGTCCTTGTCAGAGGGAATTCTGTATACACATACACAGAGAGAGGAAGAGACTGAAGTGGTGCAGGTGCAAGGCAAGAACACCGTGGACTTTTGGCAGCCACCAGAAGCTAGGAGCAAGCGAAGAAGGATCCTTCCCTAGCACCTTCAGAGGGAGCATGGCCCTGCCCTTGAGTTTGGACTTTCACCCTCCAGAACTGTAAGGCAATAGAGTTCCGTTGTTTGAAGCCAGCCAGTTTGTAGCACATGGTGACAACAAACCTAGGAGACTCATATGACACCCCTGTGCCCTAGGTGTAGAGCTCCTGGCCTTGGCTCTGTGCCCTATCTCCATTTCTGAGCCAGCCAAGTCACTTCCCCATCTCCAGCTTCAGTTTCCTTACTTGTAGCACCTGGGTGATAATACCTACCTCACAGGCCAGAGTTCAAATAATTCAGGAAGGAAGGAAGGGTGCCAAGTGCCGCACGAACGTTAGCTGTTACGTTTAGGACCCACGAGGGGAGTTACTACCAAGCAGGGGAAGAGACTAGACCCACTAGGGTGTTTCTGCCTGTCAAAAGCCTCTCTATTGCACACAGGTCCCCTCATCCTACCAGGGAAGCCACCTCTTCCAGGAAGTCTTCCCCACAGGAGATGCTCTTCTATCTCTGCCCTACTTTGTGCAGCACGTAGTGACTCAGCCAGGCTGGCCTAGTGTCACGTGCAGCACACATGTCTACCCCTGAGGGTGGGCTCTGGTGTTCTCCTTCATATACTCCCCTCCCAAGAGCCCCCCTGAAATGTGGCGTCAAGTGCATCAGGCCTTGGTCATTCCCTCATTCATGCATTGGGGACCACATGGATTTGCAATTCATTCAGAGTCCCTAGTGCTCAAACCTTCATTCATCTGTACATTTACTCAATCATTAATTCGTGCTTGATTGCCCATATCTATGATTCATTCATCCACCCAGATGCCCATCCATCCATGCCTGTATCCATCTGCGTATCCATCCATCACCCGTCTATTCACTCATCCACCCGTGAATCCACAATCCCTCCATCCATGAATTCCTCCACCTATCAAAACACACGTAGATTTATGCCTGCATTCACTCACCCCTACCCGCGTGCATTCAGCAGCCCCAGCAGCCCAGCGAGTTCCATACCTCTCTCCAGGTCAAGCAGGTAGTTGGGGGCGAGCTCAATGGAGGAGCAGTTCCAGCGCATGTCGGCAAAGGCCCTGCGGCAGGCCTTCATCACCTCCCGTGCGGCATGCACGATGGTGTGCATGAGATCCAGGTTGCTGCGGCACAGCTGCACCTGTGCTGACACCAGGCCCTCCAGCTGCTTGCAGTGTTGCGTCTGGTTCAGCGCCAGGGCCGCCGGAGTCTTGGACAGTGCCCTGCTCAACACCGAAAAACAGTAACAGGTGGAAGGAAAAACAGGAATGTGAGGGGCCAACGCTGCCTCTGCCCATGCTACTGGCCCCAGTTTTCCCCTTAGTGGTCTCTGGGAGCCATTCCTGGAAGGCACCAGGAAACCAGGAGGCAAAGTGCCATGTGGCAGAGTAGTATATCCCCTACCTACTCCTTTATGACGTTGGGCATATAACACTGTCCCTCTCTGGGCTGCAGGCCCTATTCATAACACAGAATAACAATCAATCCTCATGGCTCGGCGCCTATAGCTCAACCGGCTAAGGCGCCAGCCACGTACACCTAAGGTGGCGGGTTCGAATCCCCAGCCCGGACCCGCCAAACAACAATGAGGGCTGCAACCAAAAAATAGCCGGGCGCTGTGGCAGGCGCCTGTGTCCCAGCTACTTGGGAGGCGGAGGCAGGAGACTCGCTTGAGCCCAGGAGTTGGAGGTTGCTGTGAGCTGTAATGCCACGGCACTCTACCCAGGGGGACAGCTTGAGGCTCTGTCTCAAAAAAAACAAAAAACAAAAAACAATCAATCCTCATCTTACCTAAACTTTATTATGGTTCTCCTAACAAAAATCAGTTTTCCAGTTCACAAAGCACACACATCCGTTCCCTTATTTAGTTCTTGCAGCTGTAAATTATTAGTCTTTATTCAACATTCACTCAACACTGTGCAGCTATGTGCCAGAATCCATGCTAAATGCTAGATTATTATAATCGTAATAATTATCCACACTATTAATTGAGCCCTTACTATATACACAACACGAGTTAGGAGTTTTCCATCATTGTTTCTTTTAATTACTAAATCCATTTATTATGTTGTAAAGTCTCATATCCATGTGAGGCATTGTTATGAAAGGCTTAAACAACCACTCAGTTTTGTGATGACCTGGAACTTGGAAAATTTAGCATCTAATCCAGACCTGGCTATTAACTTGCTGTGTAACATTAGATAAATCACTGCCCCTTTCTGTGGGCCTCAGTGTCTGTACTTGTAAACCACATTTCCCAGGATGGGTTCCTATGAGATACTCTTTTTTTTTGAGACAGAGTCTCACTATGTCACCCTCTGTAGAGTGCTGTGGCAGCACAGCTCACACCAACCTCAAACTCCTGGGCTTAAGCGATTCTCTTGCCTCAGCCTCCCAAGTAGCTAGGACTACCAGCACCTGCCAGAACACCCAGCTAAATGAGACACTCTTGAACAAAAGAGATCCATTTGGGGAATACAATGTACTTTGAACACCTTGGAGAATCTTCATATATATTAACATTTTAAAGGTCCTGAGAAGTCCTGAGGCAAAGCAACAGGCTTGGTTTTCTTTAACTCAGAGCATCTGTTAAGCACACTGAGCCCAAAGCCCTCTGCTTAAGAAATGTTGGCCTAGGGGAGTCTCTATGACCCTTGGTGATGTTATAGGATCTAAAAGCCCCCAGATCCTGGTTCTAGGATTCAAAGACTCTCGTGCCAGCCCCTCCTGGCCCTGCTGCTCTGCCAGCCTTCTCGGAGGAGCAGGCTGTGGCAGGCAGCACTTCATCAAGGGCAGGCTGGAGGGACCTCACAGCCTTAGAGGACCCCATATCAACTTGCCCATAGCAACCCCCCCAAACACACAGGAGAGGAGTGTCTGAAACCCAGAAACAGCTGGCCCTCATCAACCCAGCAGAGATCCTGCAGGGACAGAGAGACAAGAAGAGGCCGGATTTGCAGCCCAAAGTGCAGAGTGCCCCCTTTGCTGTAGCCTAAGGGGTCCTCAGCCAGGGATGGGGCTGACACCTGGTGAGGTCTGAGTCCTGAGAGAAGCAGCCCAGTGCTAAGGCCTGGGTAGACTTTGGGCTCCATCATTCACCTTATGACCTTGAGCAAGTCATTTCACTTCTCCTCTCCCACCACCCCCAACATTATCTGAAGGATTAAATCAGACATGTGTGTCAGAATATATATGTCACATGCTCTGCCCAGGGCTGAGTGCTGTGGTCAGTGCTCAGTGATGGAAGCTATTACACTTCCTGCCTTGGGGTCTTTTCCTATCTGCGGCAGCCTCCCTATGCCCATCCAAAGCCAAGGGCTGGCATTCAGGGCCCCTCAAAGCCTAGCTTCCCAGCTTTCCCCAGCCCCCTGGGCTCAACCTAGTATCTGGCCACACCAGTCTCTGATAAGGACTGTCTTACCACCATGCCTTTGCTCAAGATTTTCCTGATGCCAGGAGTGTCTTTCCCTGGCTCCTACACTTGTGAGAATAAATGAACTTGATCTATTTGTGGGAGAAATATTTAGTAAGCACTAACTCTTCCCAGACGCATTTGGTAAAGAATATGACAGAGACACCTTTTCTCATGGTATCCCTAGGCTAATGGCCAGATAAACCTATCATTAGTTATAAGTCAATGACCCAGCTGTTCCAGCTCCTAGGCTTGTTCAGGGAAAAGCACAGGTGTTGAGTACCAGCTGGGTGACCTAGGTAAGTTACCCAACCTCTCTGGGCCTCTTGGTCTTCATCTGCTCTAAAGAAATGATAAATAGTTTTGGCACCCGTAGCACAGTGCTTATGGCATCAGCCATATACACTGAGGGTGGAGGGTTCAAACCCAGCCGGGGCCAGCTGAATAACAGTGACAACTACAACAAAAAATAGCCAGGTGTTGTGGTGGGCACCTGTAGTCCCAGCTACTTGGGAGGCTGAGGCAAGAGTTCAAGAGAACTCTTGATCCCAAGAGTTTGAGGTTGGTGTTAGCTGTGATGCCATGGCACTCTACCATGGGCAACACAGTGAGATCTGTCTCAACAACAACAACAAAAATTATATACTCCTTCAAAAGGAGTAAGAGATAAAAAACAAAATATATGCAAAGCATTTGGAGCTTTCATAGAGAAATCTTCCTGCTTGTGGCCAGGTGAATCTTGAACCAGAGGGATTGAGAAGGCCTGGATTCTAGCTCTGCCCTCTATGTGCTGTGCTAACTTGGGTAAATTGCTCTCCCCCGCTGGGCATCAACTATAAAATGAAGACTCTGGGATCTGGCAAGGGTTGAATTATATGTGCTTCATTAAGTAGTAGGTTAGTTTATTTCCTCCTGCCTCTCCTTCTCTGTCATGCCCCATCCACCCTGTAGCCCCCAAAGAGAGAAACCTTCCCAGAGACCCAGGAAGCAGGCCGAGGATAACTCAGCATGGCCAGGTTATCTCAGATCAACTGTGGGTGTCCCAAGCAGTTTCCCCTCACTGCAACCCCTGGCCCATCCCTACCCCTCATATACTATGGGCAGGGAAATATTTGGGGTGTCTGGGTGCCTGCACCCAGCATAAGCACGCCACAGAGCAGACCTCAGGCAAGGTCCTTGACCTAAGTGGAAGGGTTCCAGCCCTCCCTGGTCTCGCCCTCTTGGGCAGCCTGTCCTGGGTGGGCTTTGACCACACAAGGCGAATGTCAGCACCTCAGCATATTTCTTGGCTGTTAACAGCCCTCTATCCCCACCTAGCAAATGCTGTTCACACGCATGGTGGTGTCAGCCCCTACACAGGTACAGCACTTCCCAGTTTACACAACCTCTCATTTCATGCCTCAGAAGGTAGTTTTGGACCAGTGAGGATGCAGAGGCAGGGCCAGAGATGGCAAGTCAAGTTCTCCTTGGCACTGGGCCGTTCGTCCCTGCTGGTGGCATGGCCTCTCTGTCCTGTGTCCCCCTCTGCTCTGTGCAGTCCGCTCAGCCTGTCCTGAGCCCACTCTGATCTTCATCCTTCCCTCCCCTTCTGAGCCAGTTTTCTGCATTTTAAAGTGGGAATGCTTACATGAGTGACAGTGAATCAAACATCAGGCTGGCAGCAGGCACAGTGGGTGTCCCAGCCCCATGGGCTGCTTCCATGTCATCCCTGGGCTTGTGCTCAAGCCAAGAAGTGGGATGATGTGGGCTGAGCCTCTTCCCAGGAGCTCAGTTTGGGCAGCCCCTGAGGACTGGGTGGTGTGGCTCTCAGGGAGAGGAGCTCTGTGCTCCTGGTGCCAGGAGTCTCATCCGAGCCACTCTAGGTTTGGCCTCTCTGTCCCTGAGAAAGGCAGCACAGCCTCCCCAGCTGGCTAAGAGAGAGGGTGCTATAAGAGCACCTCCCAGATAAGGCTCCAATTCTCTGGGCAGCCAGTGTATAAGGAGGAAGCTGTTCCAGAGGCCCCCAGTGGGCACAGGACAGGGCAGAGCCCAGGGACCTGCCCCAGAGGTCAAAGAGCTGGGGCCTACGGAAGCAGCTGGCCCTGGCGTGCTGGCGAGGCCAGCCCACGGGTGCTAGCAGAGATCAGGAGGCGGGAGGCAGCAGATTCCACTCCCAAGGAGGGCCATGCGGTCATCTGGTAATTAGTGGTAATGACCGTTTCTAACTAAATCCCCCTTGGGGAGGTAATCAAAGATTAGGGTGGGAGGGAGGGAATTACCCTTGTGGACATCTCGGCTTGCCTCACTCTGGCAGATCCCTAATTGGAAACATTTCAGTTTATCTGGGGGTGGGGCCCTGGGGGAGAGGGTGGAAGAAAGGACAGGAGGGAACTCAGAGTTCACAGGCAAGTCCTGTGCCTAGCCCTGCGGGGTGGCGAGGCATTCTCTTGAATTCAGGAGTCAGGAACTCTCCTGGGATTGGCTAGGGCAGAGATCCCAGGTTCAAGCTCTGGCTCAGGCACTCCCCTACCATATGACCTTGGACAGGTCACTGCCCCTTGCCCTGCCATCCCGTCAATGTCCACAACCAATGCAGGCTCCCGTGGCAAGGACAATTTAGGTAACACAAGCTGGCAAATGATTTCACCTCCCCATAGCCCGAGCCATAATCCTCTCTCTCCCCTTCCACTACACCAGGCCATCTTCCCACCTGGGTGGTCCTCCCCAGCTAATGCCTCTAGGCAGGGCCTTCATCATTGTCATCATCAGCTGCCTGATTCACTACAGAGCCTACTCACTGCCCTCCCTCCCCTGGGTATCACTGAGGTATTTCCCTGTGGTTGCCAGGGCCCCTACCCTCAGGCAGCCTAGGGTACCTAACCCAAGTAAGGCCCCTTTCCAAGAAGGGCCTTCTCCCTGGACCTGCCCTCTGCAGCACTCCTCTGGCCCTAGGCACAAGGTCAGGCATATGATGAATTCTAGGCCAAGACCCAGCAGCCAGGCTTGGGCTTCTTCATGTGACCTGAACCCAGGACCTCGCTCTATAGCTCTGCAGCCCACTATCCTCGGTGCTGAGCAGTGTTACCAGCCCACTTGTTACTGGGTGAAATCTTTGGCAGAGCTGGGCACAGAGGGTCCCCCGCACCAGCACCACACACAACGTGGACTGGCAGCCCCCACTTCTGACAGGGGAGAGATGGAGTGAGATCGAAAGTCAGTGATGGGGTAGATTCTCACATCCATATCTACACTTCCAGGGTTGGGGGTACCCTGGTCAGGGCTGGGGGCTGGCATAGGGGCCTACAAGTCTTATCCTGGGAAGCCCTATGGTTCTATGTGTCTGGACCATGCTGACCCTGGGGTGGGAGAGCAATGGAGTCTAAGGAGACCCTGCTCCCTGAGCCATACATTTACCCCACCCCTGCCCACATGTCTTTGGGCTCTCCTGGGCCCCAAGTCATCCTGGTGTCCATGCAACAGGAAGGATGGAGCAGGAACCTGGCTTCAAGTCCATCCAAGCCGTGCAGGCTCTCGGGCTTCCTTCTATCTCCCTGGGGCAGCCTTGGGACCTCTCCCTCCACAAGTCAAGACTCCTCAATCAGGTCCCAGGTCTAGAAACCAGGTCTCCTCAGAACTCCCCCTTCTTTACCCACCCACCCACTCCAGGCTGAGTGGTGCAATCACCAGCCCAGGAAGAAGAACCCCTAGGGTCTTATGGCCTGAAAGGCCTCTTCTTCCCTCCTAGGCTTTGTCCCAGGACTCCAGAGCCAAGAGGGACCATGGAGTTCCCTTCCCCCATAGATGAGAAAATTGAGGCAGATCCAGTCCTGCCTAGAAGTGACACTAGGTCTCCTTCACACCCAAGACTGCCTAGACCTCAGAGATGGAAGCCTGCTCACTTGGCTCCTGGCCTACACACTGGCATCTCATCCTGCAAGGTGAAGCTCTAACTGGCCTTGTCTGATACTGTCAGCCAAAATGCTGAAGGGTGGCTTCCACAGCATCACCAACCCTAATCTGAAACTGAGGTCCAGAAAGGGCAGGGCTTACCCTGATCTATACATAGCCAACCAGAGCTGAGCTAGACCCCAGGCCTCCCAGATCCCAGCCTAGGGCTCTTTCCACTCTCATTTATTGCTAAGGAAACAGCCTCAGAGAGGCTGAAGTGATGGATTAGCCTGAGACCTGGGCCCATGTCTCATGCAAGGGGAGTGCTTAAGCTGGGACTCTGACTCCCAGTCCAGTGCTCCTTCCATCCCACTTGGCAGCAGCTGTGTCCCTTCTAGAGTTTCTTGGGACTCTTACTTGAGAGGCACTAGGCTTGGGTTGCCCAGGGAGGGGTGTGACCTTTATGGGCCCCCCTAGCCAGCCTGGGCCTTCCCTATCACTGGGCATCCTGATCATCCTTAGTCCCCTCCCCATCCAGGGTATGCAGGAAGGAGGTAGATGTCCCAGACTTGGATTCCTCTAACACTTGCTCCCAGTGTCTGGCTTAGGTAGAGTATGGTAGGGGTTATCTGGGGGTAGGTGCTGTGTGGGCCACCAGGCTCTGACCCTACTCCCCCAGTCCCTTCCCAGTGGTTCAGCCTGCCCCAGGCACCCTCCTGGTGAGCATTCCAGGTCATTCAGCCACATCTCCTTTCATTCCTGTGTCAAATGTGCTTTCATCTCAAGGTCACTTTCCAAAGCCCAAGGCAGCACAGCCCCCGGGACAACCCCAGGACAGCTGAGCCTCCTAGATGAGCCCTCATCTCCCACCACCTCTGTATACTTCCCAACAGGTCACAGAGCCAGACAGTACAGTTCAAATCCTGCCTCTATTGCATGCTAGCTATGACACCCTGCTAGGTAAAGAATCCCTCTGGCCTCCATTTCTTCTTCTGTGTAATGGGGGAACAATGGAAGCCACCTCACAGGGTGGTTGGGAGATTTAAATACATAAAGCACTGAGAACAATGTTTAACATGTCACAAAGCTGTGTGTGTGTACATGTGTGTGTAAGGATGCATAAGTTTATGTGTATATCAACATACATATGTATACATGGCCTGCACATACGGCTATATATACACATATGCACACATATATAATTGTCATTCTTAAACTCTACCCCTTCTCCCACTTCCCCCTCTAACTTACGCCCCAGCAAGCGTTTAACCATTATCAAGAGGTTTGGCCTCATGGAGCCTGTCTGCCTGGGTTCTGATCCCACAGCCACCATTAACTATCTGTGTAACTTTGGGAAAGCTACTTAACCTCCTCATGCCTCATTTTCCTCATGTGTGAAATGGTAGTGATAAGACTATCACTTCCCTCAAAGGAGTACAGCATTACCCAAATTAAATGACCAGAGCTCTGAGAGCAGTGTTGGGGCATTTGGGAGCAGGCTCTTCTTGTCCTGGTATCTCTGAGTTTGCCCATTTCCTGCCCAGGATGTCGGCTCTGCATTGCACCTCTGCTCAGCAAAATCCTACCTGTCCTTCCAAGCCCAGCCCCAGGCTCCTCCCTTAGGTGGGACTGACCATTCCTCCTCTGGCTCCCATGTTCCCTCTCAGAGGACATGGAACAAAGTCCACTTTGTATTTTCTATGTGTCCATCTCCCCCAGCAGGCTGGGAGCTTCTTTAAGGCAGATGCTGAGTTGTACCCATTTCTATTGCAGCCTGGGCTCTGCAGTGGGGATGAATCACACGAGTGCTGGCGTTAACCAGCCATATACCCCAAAACATGCCAGCTTGGGGGCTTGTGTGCATCACACCCTTCTCAGAGCCTCACTGTAGAGCAGGGATGATAGCTGTGTTCCCCATAATGTTCTTATGAGCAGCAAATGTCACCCAAGCCTCATTCTTAGCCCCTGGAGCTCCTTGTATCCTCCAGCAAATCCTCTCCTTCTCTGAACCTTAGTTTTCTTATCTGTAAAATGGTGGTGCAGGATGTGTGGGACCTGGACTCACTGAACAGAGACCCCTCCCAGCCGGAGTAATGCTGGATACCCAGCAGCAGAAAGAAGGTGATTGGACAGCCAAGAAGAGCTGGGGACCTAAGGCTGGATGACCACTGAGCCCAGGCTTCTCCTTGCAAACAGGAAATGAAAGAAGATGGGGTCCCCCTCTTGAATCATCAATTAATCAATAACTCAGCCCTAGAAGGGGCAGGGCCAGTGACCTCCAGACTGTTTGTTGGCGGCCCAGCCATATCACCTTGTCTTCTAGCTAATCCACAAACCCTCCCAGCCCCTATAATTTGTCCCCTGTTGTCTTATCTGTGTGGCTCCCTGCCCCCACCCCAAACTCTAGTCCTGTGTCCTGTCTTAGACTTTCCTAACCACCATTGGGCCTTTGCTCAGGGGCTCCCCTCTTCTCCTCCCCTGGCTTCAACCAGCCAAGCTCCCTATAGCTATTCCGTCCCTAAGGACCCTGCCCCTAAAAAGCTTCCCAGTGTCCCAAATTTGTGGCCCCACCAGGTGGTCTCCCCTCCTCTGGGCCCCCATAACACTGGTCTCTCCTGGGGCACCGGACACTTGTGGAGTTATTTACGGCCTGGGCTTATCTCTCCCAGCCCAGAGGGCAGCTCCTCCAGGAAGGGGCTGGCTTTTCCTCCTCTGCTCTGCCTGCACTGCCCACAGCCCCACAGTGTCTGCACTCCCTTCTGCTAGGGAAGGCCTCTCTCTCCCACCCACCTCTCCATTAATAATTAGTATCTAAGAGAATGCCCCGCACATGTGCACAGCATCTGACAGCTAACAAGTTTCTTTTATGAGCCTCTTCTCATCTGATCTGAGTGGGGTGGAATATCTCATCTTCCTTTGACAGAGGATAAAGCTGAGGTACCAAGAAGTAGAGTGACACTTCTCCAAGGTCACCCAGGTGGAGGGGTCAGGACTGTCTTTGTGGATCTCCAGCTAGGGTCAAGAAGACTGGGGAGCTAGGCCCTTGGTCCAGGATGTCTATTTCCGTCTGCCACTGCAGAGGTCTCCTGCAACTCAGTGGCTTTTGCACAACTGTCACTCAGAGCAATTCCATCGCCTTCCACACCCCGTCTGGCTTCCTCTTTGCAAGCCCAGGGAAGGTAAGGACAGCATTTTACAGGGGAGAAGGTGGGGTCTCAATTAGAATGATTTGCCCATGATTCCCAAGCCAACTTGGGTTCCTAGGTCTTGGTGCGCTCCTCCCACCCAAGGGGCCCCTTACGCCCTCCACCACCCCAGCCGCTAGCCCCCCATCCGCATGGACGAAGGGTCCCTACTTACAGCCACTTGATGCCATAGCACATGCTGGTCTGGAGCGCTAGGGCGAAGAGTAGCGCCTCGCAGACCTGCGGCCGCGCCCTCATTGTCGTCGCGCGGAGGGCGCGCCTGGGGGTCGCGCCCAGGAGGAAGCCGCACCGAAGTCCAGCCGCTTGCACCGCACTCGTCCTGCGCGCACGCCGCCTGCAGCCGGGGAGAGCAGGGGCGGCGGGTTAAGGCGGCGCGCAGGGCGGGGGAGGCGTTTTATTCAAATTACAAAGGAGGGGTAGGGGCCCCGAGAGGCCGAGCGCAAGGCAGGCGTCGCCTCTCCACCGACCGGGGTTCAAGTTAGGTGTGGCCGAAGTGCGGCCGAGAGCGTGTCCACCTAGCGTGGCCCCATGACCCGGCCGTGCCTTTGAGCCCCTCAGCCTAGGACCCAGGCTGCGGAAAGGAAGGGCAGGAGGCAACAAAACCAGACACTCACAGAGAAGAGCAGAGACAGCGAGAAGAGATGTGCTGAGGAGGATAAAAGCCACTTGAGGCAGAGGAGAAATCAGGACAGACAGAAAGGACAGAACAGAGAAGGACGAGGGGTCCGGGCGCAGGCAGGAGATTCCAGTTCTTATGCCCACAATATCATCAGTTATCATGACCTGGGCAATACTCCTTCCCCATTGGGCCTCAGTTTACTTCCTTTGTAAACTGGGGTGATTTGGGCACAAACATGATGTCCTTTGCTCCTCCCAGCAACCCCATCTCACAGAGCATAAGACTGAGGCTCAGAGATGTGAAATGGGGCGTTCAGCTAGGTAGATGCAGGTCCACGCCAGGTTTTCTACTCTCATGTCTACCCAGAGTCTGGTGAGATCAAAGATCCTGAGAAGACAGGAGTTAGGGCTTACTCTGGGCATCGGTTTCTCAGTCTGGGAAGGAGCGCTTGAGACAGCGGATGGCAAGTCTCTGCGTACAGTTAGAGTCCCTCTTTATCCGCCCTCCTTTGGAGGGCCGGGGCTGCAGGCTGGAGCCCAGGCGGGGCAGCCGGCCCTTGGCTAAGTAGGCTAGTTTGTGGGGCCCGCGCGATGCTGCCTCTGGACGCCAGGGGGCGCCCTATGGCCGCGGAGGAGCCGCTACCCCTCCCGTCCGCAGTCTGCAGAGCTGCTTTCTCCGGCTTTTTTTTTTTTTTTTCTTTTTCTCTTCATTCTCACCTCATTAACTCCCTTCTCAGCTTCTCCCAAATTTACCAACACCTGGCGTTAGCCCGGACTCATACGCAGACCTTGCTCCTCTCTTCTCGGGAGAATCAGAGACAAAGGGATTCCTTTCTAAAAGGTTTGGGGAGTTGGAAAAAGGAGACACCACCTTAGTGGAGGGCACTGAAGCCCTTTCGAAAAGGACGTTCTCATCTGGCTCTGTGAGCTTGGGCAAGCCCCCAAGCACCCCCAACCGCAGGCACTGGGCTTCACCCATCTCCTGAGGTCTTTCCAGTAGTCTGTGGGTCTTTGGGCGCCCCTCTGCCTAAGTTTCCACTATTACGTATACCTGTGTAGTATGTGCTCGTGCGTCTGTGCCTTAGACACACACATACTTGAAACTTCACTGTTTTTTGGAGCATTCCGGCGTAACTCAGAGGAAGGCACTGAATTACATTTTTTTTCCTGCCCTACAGAGTCCCTCAGCTAGGTGCCCAGCACAGGGGCGCCAGCGACAAATGTGCCAAGTCTAGGCTGGGGGGCTGGAGGGAGGGTCTCAGCGGGGTTATCAATGTAAACTGAGCTCCCTCCTCCCCCTAGCCTGTATCCAAACCCTTTGTCTTACTAGTTGTGGGAGTTTACAGCGCTTCTCAGAACGGGAAAAATATCTGCTCAATATGGTGGGGTGGGGGGAAATTAAAACTCTAATAAATGTCTTCGGCCCCCCCAACTGTGGGCTCCCCCAAGGCACTCGGCATTCCTGAGTGGGGAGGGTACAGGGGCTGCAGGAGGAAGGAGGCGTGCGGACTCATAGCGGGGGATCCGTGTCCAGCCCAACTCTCCCAGGGAGAGGCGGGCCATACGGGTCACACAGCACCCAAGCCTATTCCCAGCTCTCTCGGAGCAGCCCTGGTGAATCCGGGTTTCTGCCTTCGCCGCCTCAGCTCGTTGCTGAGGGAGGCAGCACCTGGCCTGAGCCTCTGGGTCCTGACAGATTATTCTTGTCCTGTGTAAGGGAGTCCTGGACAGCCATGCGGGCCTCTGGGTCACCCTCAGCCGGCGCCCGGCGGGTCACGGCGCTCTCCCCTCCCCGAGTCCCCGGCCCGCCAGGGGGCGCTAAGCAGGGGTTCGAGGTGCTATCTGCAGCTGCCCCAGCTCCGTGGCCTGGGTCAGTGTTCCCGTCTGCAGACGCGACGAGGTGTAGATTGCCCTCTCGGTCCTGGTCGTTCTGTGGTCAGCCCTGAACTACCGGACCAAGGCCCAGCGTAGCCTCCCTTGGGGCAGGGGAACGTAGCGGGCCCACGTCAAAGCTCAGAGCGGTCCCCTCCTCCGCGCGCTGTAAGAAGGTCCAAGTTATTCCCCCTGCAGCGGGCCGGGGCAGGGGACCGCCCCGGGCTGTGCACACTCAGGGTGCCACGAGCGCAGCAGCCGCAGCCCTGCGCAGCCAGCAGGTGGTCATAAGAGCTGGGCTGTGGAGGTCTCTGGAAACTTCACCCCTAGAGTGGCCTCCCCTTTGAGCCAAGCCATAGGAGACTTACAAGCCTACCCTACCACGACGCTCCTGTGCTGAGCCGGGAGTGGGCACTGTGCGCGGGGGCAGAGTGTCCTCGCGACGAGTAAGGTCGGCGCCTGGCCGGTCCCGAAGCCTCCTGCAGCTCCGCTCGCAGAGTTGACCCCGCAAGCCAGAGACGTAGAGGGACGGCTTCAAGGTTACCTGTGAGGCGGAGCGAGGCCAGACCACAACCCACCTTTGACCTCAGCCACAAGTCTTTTGGAGCTATGTCTGCTCAGCTGCAGATGCTGCGCCAGCTCACCCCGGAGACAAATTGTTTTGGAAGTGGGAATGATGGGTGGGGGAACTCAGATGTCTCCTGCTAGCCTGACGCTGCGCGCCTAAGGACCGTAAGGGACACAGAGGCACTTATGGGTAGGGGGTGGGAAGCGTGGGGCTCGTCTGCTAGCTCAGCTGGATATTCAGGACAGTTCTAGATGTGGCGCCGGGTGCGGGACAGGACTCCTTTCCACCCCACCTCACCACCAGCCTGAAGTTCAGGTTTGTAAACAAACTCCGTTCTCTCCTCCAGTCGCCTTTAGGGTCTGTACTCAAAGCAGGGCGTCCTCCCCTCTCCTCCCAATTTAGTAGGAGCTGCCGAATTTCTCTGCTTTTGCCACCCTCTCCCGCCCCACCAAACACACACACCCTCTGTTGCGGGATCCAAGTCCCCCACCCCCGGGATGGCTCGGGCATGACCTCATCCGCGGGCCGACTGGGAGGGAGAGGTGTCTATTGAGGAGCAGGGACAGGCCAGGAAAGCTCGGGAGGTACGCAGGAACTGCACAGCCCACTCCCAGCCCCGCGTCTCCCTAAAGCTGGAATCCTCTAAAGCCAGCGTCTCCGGCCCCAAACGCTGCGCTCCGCAGGGGGCATTGCTCGGAGTCCCGCAGAGGAGAGGTACAGAGGAGGGCTTCGTTTGCTTACCCTGGAGTGCATGCCCAAAGGGTTCGCGGCGGGTGCGAGAAGCGCAGTCCCCTTTGGACTCTGGCGCCCCCAGCCCTAGCGGATCCCAGATGAACATCTGACTGCCCGCTGCCCGCGGCCACTGCTCACCTCTTTGAGCGCTCGCCCGCGCGCCCTGCGTGCCCTGCTGTCCCGTCCGGTCCAGGGAGCGACGAGCGCGGTTCTCAGCGGGCCTGAGCGCTCTCGGGGGCGTGGGGGGGCGGCGAGCAGCAAGGGCGCCCCTCTTCGTGGAGCTGCTCAAGGACACCGGGGATCGTGGCCAGCAGCGGCCGGCTGTGGTCCCGCGCGGACTCTGGCGCAGACTCAGGCTGCTCTGGGCTGCGCTCAGCTGCAGCGGCCTGCACCAGCCGGCCGGTTCTCCGGAGCTCTCCCCCTCTCGCAGCTCGATCTGCGGCGCCGGCCGCTCGGACTGCTTTATAAGGCGCTGGCGGCCGCTTTGATCCGCCCACGTCAGCGCGCAGAAACTCCACCGGGTGGCTCAGGCCCCACGCGGCGGGCGGGGTCGGTGTCTCCGCGGAGGCTACTGACCCGCTGCGCCCGCGTCCGCCACTCGAGAGAACTTCGCACCCTGTTGAGTTACAAAGGGGGGACGTGCTCCCTACCGCCGGTGTTTACTTAGCGTGCCTGCGGAGTGCCTCCTGCGGCTCTGCGGTGTGTGGGGCCCGGGTTAGGCCCACCTCGAATCTCGAAGCAACCGAGCAAGGAACCTGGACTCGTCAGCGGGAAGTCCCACATGGTCTGTCTGTAGCCCGGGCGGGTGTGACAAGGTGTTCGCCTCACAGCTTTGTTACTATAGGCGTCGAGGGTCCTGAGACCTGCCTTCATGTCACAGCGCTGATCCTTAGGGGGCCATCTCTCCCGGCCTTTGGTCTCAGTACTGCAAAGGGGGTCAATAATCCTGGACTCCCAGAGAAGAAGGAGGTCTAGGATTCTACCCTGCAACGTGTGCTGTAAACCTTAGGCGCTGAGCCAGGAGGGCATCGTAGCCCCTGGAGTGACTCTTGGGGAGTCTTCTGGACACTAAGCTGGGGACAGCAAATGACTGGGTTTCAAAAGGTAGAGAGAGCTAGGGAGGCACTTGGGTGCGGTGTAGCCCAGGCTGGGGCAGTGCTTCCGGGACCACTTTCTCCCTTGCTTAGGCTGATCCCACCACTATCATCGCCACTGTGACTTGAACTGATGATGGTTTCATCATCTTGTTTCCCCCTCTCCTTCTGAGGCCCCAGTCCCACATTAGTAGAAAGGGACACTGAAACTTAAGGAGGAGAAGGGCTTGCCTTGGGCTTGAAACACTTTCCCCCATTTTTTGCGGTTGCAAATGAAGTGGCACCTATAGGCTGCCCCACACTTGCCGACAAGTTCCTCCACATACAATACAAACCTCTGGGCCCACAATGCCCAAGGAGCTTCCTAGCTATACACGTGCAGACAGCCAGTCTCCCTGGCACACAGGGGTAGGAGATATCACCCCACAAAGAGTACCAAACACATTCAGGGGATACTTGGAAACATCATCTGCCCGTA